TGTTGGGTGTGTTTTAACATGGTCTTGAGGGGTGAATGAGGTAGGGTTTTGGGGAAGATGGGTTCGGCCAAGATGAAAAGGAGAAGGGGGAGAATGGTTAAGGTTTGGTGTTGTTTCTGGATTGTAGGGATTGAGGAGGATCATGGGTTTAAGGGCCTTCAAAATGGATCATATAGCTTAAACATAGGTCCTCGGCTTCCCCCGGGAGTGTAGGGTATAGGGCGAACCATGATGAGGCTGAGCCCAGATATATCACATTGTCATTTGCAGGGCTGCCTTCCCACACATTAGTTTTATAAAAAGAATTGCCCCGTAATCCTATAAATCCATGTGAGGGCTTATGTAACATCACATGCTTAATCTGCGATACATTTAATAATCATCCCATAAGTTGTTTCATAGCATTTGGTGAGTACAAAGGCAAAGATGTGTTCATACCAAGAATACCACTCCAGATCTCTAGAGATGAACGATACCATTTAAGAGAACTCAATTTCGCATTAAACTATGCTTTGCAATGACATTAAACAAATCGCAAGGTCAAACACTCGAATTTGCTGGAATATACCTCAGACAACCTATTTTTTCTCATGGGCAATTATACGTTGTAATGTCGCGTGAAAAAATATGCTGCCTCCGTGAAGCTCCTTATTCATGACAAAATAGATAATTCCAGAACCACAAATGTCACTGCCAACATTGTTTATACAAAAATCTTGAAATACCTTACACCATAACCCCCACGATGATTTCGTTCTTCTATGCGACCTATTGTCCACCTCACAGTGCTAGTGTGCTCTGAAGTCTTGATGATGACACCACCTTCTTTTTCTAAAGTCGCTGCACTACACTCTTGTTCGCCTTTTAGGTGAATATTTTCTTATTTAGTCTCACAATATTTTGTCTATGCATGTATGCGATTCTTTTATTCGGCGCATTTTTGTTTCTCTTATCAATATTCTTTTTGCGGATATTAGCCTTAATTTTGTCCTCAGATCTGGACGCTCGTGTGAATGAGGTACAAACTTTGAATCTCACATAAATTTCTCAGTTATACTTGCCCTATTCCATGAAATTGAATCAACGTTCAACTTGGGTGTTCTACTTTCAAGTCATGCATTTCTATTGGATTTCCTCCGGTTTATATTTCTGCTTTTCAGTTTTATTTGCCTAAAGCAGCTTCCCAAATTATAATTCAATTGTGTCTTGCATGAGGTCTTGCAAATTCCAAATGGGCACCATGAAACTGTAATGTAGCAAACTTGTAAAAAAAAGGCAAACATATTAAGGGGCTGTTTGGCAACTTCTGAATAGGTAAGTGCTGAACCAGTAAGAGGTCTGAACCATTAAGAGCTAGTATATTGCTTAACTATTCAGAGGCAAATGTCTGATCAATTCAGATAAGAGGTCTTAACCATTCAGACTTTGTATAATACTTAACCATTCAGAGGCAAATCTCTTAACCATTCAGACATCTGAACCATTAAGAGGCTGAAACAAACAGTCTGGACCATTAAGTGCTGAACCATTCAGACATCTGAACCATTAAGAGGCTGAAGGTTAGAGAATCACTTTACTTCACTTTGCTCTGTTCACTTCAATTTTTCAAAGAGAAATGCTCATATTATTCTTAGTATGTTTCGGCACTTTTAAGCTAAGCATCTCTTGTTTTAACTTTGGCAGATTTTTTTTTTTAAAAAAATGTTTGTTTTCTTCAAATGTTTAATGATGCAAATTTCATGAGTGTAATGGAGACTACTATTCATCTGTTCACTTCACTTCAATAAGAGACTAAAAATAAGAGGGAAGAGTGTCACTGAATCTAATGTTAAAGCTAGCTACTTCAAAATCTTTCTATTAAATGACTAAAAAACCTTTCACTTGGGTATTCAGTTTGTAAATTTAAACTTTTTACAGAAATGAAAGTCTTACCAAGACTGTGTTGATGTTAACATTATTCTTTATTTCATTGGTTTGTTTAATGATGATATACCTTTGAACACAAGGAAGTTTGTTTCCAGAATCCCAGCATATCCTTGTTTATTTATTAGGTAGATCTCCCTAATACTATGTTTGATTTACGCTCACATTTTTTCTTACAAAATGCACGAATTCCATTCTACATTGGACGCAGTAGCTGCAATCGAAAAGTGAACTTCAGAGAAGGATTTACCTTTGAATGCATGCAAAGTAGCGATAAAAAAAAGCCACAACTGCAAAGAGGTGACTACTTCAATTCCGCAGTCTTTGACTTTTTATGTTAGAATAATACACTTGTGTTAAATACACCCCTGACAAACATTGCAGATTTAGAATTTTTTTGTTTGAAATAAGCGATGGAAGGAGTGCTTTGCAGTTCACCATCTTCACCAACGAGCTCCAAAAAATAGTAAAGACACTGTAATTCAAGACACCGGCGGAGTCAATTGATTGTGTGAATTTGAACAACGCTCTAGAACCAATCAATGCCACATGTGCTGTGAAATTAACTTTAACCACTTTCCAAAAACTAGCAGGAAAGATGTACTCACTACTATGTCTTTATAACCTCTCTCAAAAGCACACAAGCAATCAAACTTAAAGGGAAAAACTTAAGATTGAGGAGCAAGCATAGTCTTGATTTCATTGCCACGAAGCTACAAACATTTTACCCTTAAAAGCTAATCACTACCCCTCTTGTAATATATGTTTATCCTAATAAGGTAGGAATAGTTAACTTTATTACTTTTCTAGGAAGCTATAAACATTTTTGCAGCAAATCCTTACTCTTCTTGTAATATATGTCTATCCCAATAAGATAGGAATGCTTATGACATATGGTATAAATACTAAACTACTTATACAGAAATAAATAAATTTGTCTACTTGCTTTGGCAAAGCCTTGTGAATGGGTGTATTATTTGTAATCAGATTTGTGCCATATTCAATTTTTTTGAAATTTATCTTATATACTCCGTATGTAATATCACCTTTTTTTTATTACTTACGTCTAATACAAAAAGTATTTAATTTCTACAAACATAAATTTAAATTGGGCAGCCAATGTGCACTTGCGCATTCCCAGCTAGTACTCTATATATATGTGGGGTGGTAATCTTACACTGATTGAATTGGTGTAAGATTGTTACACTAATTCAATTGGGACACTTACGGTGTTCTAACACTATTTTTTTCATAGTCCAAGCCTAAAATTAAATCTTTGGTAAAACAAAATCTGATCGATAATTCAAATTTTTTTTAGCTCTTTTTTAATTCAGCTGGAGGGATCCAAAACTTATGTCGGTTGTTGATTGTTGAATACGGAATAACACTTCCGAAGTATATCTTGTGGCTTCGAATTTACACTTCCGAATCTAGCATTTTTTAAAATTATTTTATTTACAAATTGGTATATTGATAAAAAAAAATAAAAACTACATACGGAGTTTTAAAAGATTACACCTAAAGTTCTTGTTTTATCAAATAATCAATTAAAACACATAAATAAACAAAAGTTATCAAGAAGTGAGAAAAAATGATAATCAATTTCAGGACAGTGGGATGAAGCCTCTTTTGTGATTTCTTGTTGTTCCAT